AAAGGGAAATAAAAATATTTCTATTTCTCTATCTTCATTTCTCTATACCAATCACCTCTTATATTATACGAAGATATCTTATGGACATCAAGAAACAATGGATGTATAAAGTCACTTATGTCTCCTTATGAAAGGATTTTGAGTAGCATAGAACATATGTTTTTGAGTCCATGCCACTATCTTGAAACTTCATTACATAATATCAACCCTAATGTAGGGTGAATTCGTTGTTCCAAGGGACCTAGATCACAAAATAGCCTAATTGTGGAATAGTTTAATACACCTGGTGAGGTCATTGCGTTTTTTGGGATGGTTGATTCTATTTGGAAATAGTTGATGTCTATGATAAATTAGAATTATGAGAAATCAGAGCAAATAGGAGGAAAATTATGTCCGAATTAAGAAAGTAAGTTGGTGTTGTCATACATGGCCTAAAAAAGGCTACAATGTAACCAATCATCGAGATCGGAGTTTGAGGTTATTGATGATACTGAAATATATGCAAATTATCTACAATATAAAAAGAATTGTCGGGAATGGAAACTATTTAGGAAACTATGCAAACATGCATGCACATGCATTGAAATGTATTATGTGTATACATGATTTTTACAATGAAACATTCAATTTTACAAAAAAAACTTACCAAGAATCCATTAATCGGGTACTGACGCATGATATGGATGTGGTGTCTAACAATCTAAAAATAGAGATAATTCCTTCAACATTTTCTATACAACCCGGCCACCCGAAGAAAAGGTAGTTTGAATTAAAGCAGGTCAAACATAATGCACTCGTTAATCCAGACCTATAATGTACAAAATTGAAGATTTCAATAATCATACACAACCTCTTATTTCTCTCACCCGAATGCACGAGTTATATACGTACTGAAAAACCTATGGTGCATCCATTCAAGTAGGCCTTCCCAGCTTTGAAGTCGTACAATGATTTCAATATGTACCGATGACATGCTTGCCCCAAGCATAGTCACCCAATGACTTTTAGTCATCAACATACCCCCAACAAAAAATATTTAAACGCAATAGTTAGTAGTTGTAAATAGAATGTTAGAAAAATAATAATAATAAAGTGTATAGTCTAGAAAAATCATCAATGGACACAGTGTCATCCTCGGCTTTCACTGCCTCTTTAGCTTTGCAAAAATCTTGGTCCTGGGGATACCCTCCCCTCCAAAAAAAAAATCTCAAATTTTTTTCACATCGTGGGAAACATTATCATAAACATACATGTCTTTTGTATGTTATTTGTGTACTATAGAGAATTCTTCCTCATAAAAACTTATTTCAAATGATTGGAAATCATTGTCAAACATATTCACAATCACCTACAAGATATTCCCGGGTAGCTTTATTTTCGAACAACTAAGAAAATTCCTAAATGGCGTGAGTTATGCAACTTTCGGTGTTTCTTGTGTATCTCAACCTTCAGTTGAGTCATCTCGTTATGGAAGAAAGACACAAAAAACCTATAAATAAGCATACTATTCTTTCTCAGGCTCAGAAACATTCAAAACAAAAATGTAAAATCGTACAGGAGTATATATATATACAATACTGATTCAAGCTTATAGCATAATTATGAAGACATGTAACTTTCTTGTAATGAATGCCAATTGCAAATCAAGCATAAAAGAAGCATTTTCTACGGGATCCCGAAACCACCAGCCACCACTGCACACATGATATGACCTTTAATTTTTTGTAACCAAAGGAATTTAGAAGCATTCACACGCAATAGTAAAAACAAAATAAAAATCACAAATCGAAAAAATAATTACATCAACAACCAACTCCGTGATAGATATATCAACAAACACTTAGGCATTTAAAAAGTCATTTCACACGAGAAATAAATGCCTACGGTATTTCAAAATGTATCAAGATCCACCTACCTGACATTGGAAGTCTTTTGCTACAAAATAAAACTAACAGGAAGAAAGTAACGGGAAAATTGCAAAAAATATCCCCTATGTATACCTTATTATTACTTTTGTCTTGTATTTATCTCACTGGCAAAATATATCCCACATGTTTGCAAAATTCGTTATTTATATCATTTGGCCATGTGTGATCGCGTGAACGTCACGCGCGGCTAAAGGACATAAATAGCGACTTTTGCAAACATGTAGGATATATTTTTTCAGCGAGATAAATACAAGACAAAAGTGATAATAGAGTATACATAGGGATACTTTTTGCAATTTTCTCTGAAAGCAAGGGTAATTCTATTTACAAAATGTCATTTATAATTTAAAACACATTAAAATAATCTTTATGTGAAAAAATGGTGGGATACAATACCAAAGTAAACTATGTCGGTACCGAAACTTGTACAAACCCGATAGAGACACAAGAAAAAGAGGTTGTAGCACACCATGAACTTGAAAAGATAAACTAAAATATTAATTTTATAAAAAAAATAAAAACTTTAACTTACTTCTTGAAACTTCATTTAGGAGAGAAGACCATCTTCAACATTTCAAGTATATTGTGTACTTTTATTTCATCTTGTCGGTTGGTCTTTGATGCAGAAAACTTCCAGTATGGCGGTCGTGATGGTTTCAATGGTGACGATCTGCGAAGATGAGTTGTCAGTGGGAGGAGGATTTATGAAAAAAATAAGTAATTGAGATTGTGGGTTTTTCTTCAGTTCTATTTTTTAATTTTTATGTGTTATTTATATAACCAATGACAATATATAAATCATAAACTTAAGTATATTTCTTTAAAATTACGTTTGTACAACATAACAATATTATAGTATGTTAATAGAGTATGTTTACATAAATTCAATGGAAGTATATAATATATTCGTTATATTAATTCATTATTCTAAATAAAATGATAGTAAGAAGTGATCCATAAATATTATATTTAAAAATAAATAGTGTAGTGTTATCAACTATATTGGATGGACTTGTTTTAAATATTTTTTAGTTCATATGAATTTAAATTCAACTCTTTTTTTTTTTTTTTTAAGATTGATAACTCTAATAGTACATGATTCATCCACCAAAAATATATTCATAAACTATACTTTCTCCGTCTCAAATGAGTCTTTTGTTATTTTATAATAGATTAAAAGATATTGAATATTTTGATATTTTTGTCATTATATTTTATGTATAAATTAATTGTATTTGTAATAATATGTTTACAATTTATATAAAAATTAAATGATATTTTAATATTAATGTATAATTATTTTTATTATAATAGCAAATGAACATATTTAAACTCACATATAAAAATGGTAAAAAAATACTTTTAATTGAAAAGAAAAAAATATAAAATATATATAAACTGATTTTATAGAATATTGAAGTGGATAAAAACTTTCCTTGTGAAATGTTTTTTTTAAAAAGAAAAAAACGTGAGTCATAAAAGTAATAATATATAGTAATATTATTCATTAATAAGATGTATAAAACTTTTCTTGAATAAGAGCATTTCCAAAAGGAGGTGGAATTTGACCCTCGGGGTAGATGGTGAGCACACTTAAAACTATCTGTAAATATACAGGTATTTGATATTCGAATCGAATCGAATAAATATTTAAAATTACAAAATCTTATTTGAATCAAAAATTTTGATTAACCGAATTTTCGGTTAATAAAAAATATTTGTTATATTTACAAATAATTCGAACCGAAATAAAATTTAAAAAATAATATATTAAAGAAATAATTAAAATTCTAATTAAGTTAAAATATTTACAAATATTTCAAATATTCGAACCGAAACCGAACCTTAACCGAACCGAATATAACTATTAATATAAATTTTAAATATAATTATATTATTATATTAATATATTAATATATTTGGTTCGGTTAACCGTACTGAAAAAAATATCAAAAATCGAAACCGGACCGAACCGAACAAATATCAAATATGCAGTATTTGTATTCGAACCGAATATGATTAATTAACCGAAAAATCGGTTCGATTCAGCTATTCGACAGTTCGATTCGATTCTTTTGTCCACCCTACCATCGGGGTGTTAATCCTTTGAGGATTTACTACAATTGCATCAAAAAATTATTTTATTTTTTATTTGAAAAGACATTTAATAAGATTTTATATTGTATTTAAAATATATAATTATTATCCATCAAATTTATTTTTGTTTTTTTAGTTTATTTGTTAAATTTATTTATTATTAATTTTAATTAAGTCAATAAATCAATAATTATCATATTTTTTTAATAAGATTAGATAATTCTTTTTTTTTTTTTTAACAAACACTTATGAGTAATGAAATAAATATAATAATTATAATAATAATATAATTATTATTATTATTGGCCGTTGATTTGATTATCAAAAAGAGTCCAATAATATACCATCAATCACTATACCGCAAACAAAATTTTATTACGAAGATTAGTCAAATTTTATTAATGATGGCTGTCAATTGTTTTAGTTGGGAAATTTTCAAAGCTATTAGGATGTAATTAATGGTCATAAATGCTTTTCCGTTAAATGAATTCAACAAATATTTAAAAATAAGAAATTATTTTAATCACGAAGTAGTAAAAATAAAAAAATAAACTGTAATTCGTAAAGAATGAGTTGACTTTTCAAACATTTGCAAATAATAGAGGTGGTGTATTACTTACCCAATTAGCATTTATTTAGCTTTATTTCAAAATAATACTACTATTTTAGTTTCGAAATCGTTGATATAATATTAAAAAAAAAAAAAAAATTATCGAAATAATAGTTTATTACGATAGTATTTTATTATTTGTTATACATAAATCATAAAGTCAAAAGGCTTATTTATAAGCATAGTACAAAACGGATAAAATAAACAAACAAAATAAATAATATTTCAGCATCCCCTCAAATTCAATAGGCGTTGTAGAGACCAACTTGATGGACAACCCCCACCAACGATATGTTGTCGAATGAAGTGACAATCAAGTTCAATATATTTGGTGCGTTCGTGGAAGGTATCATTGTGAGTAATCTTCATAGCACTCTGATTGTTGCAGTGAAGAGTAGTAGAAGATGACTGAGAAACAACAAAAGTTCTGACGTAGAGTTGGTAAGAGCATGATACTCAGACTCGGCACTCGATCGAGAAACTAAAGTCTGCTTCTTGTTGCGCCAAAAGATGAAAGAATCATCAAGGAAGAAGCATAAACTAGTGGTCCAACGACAATCGATAGGATCACCAGACCAATCAACATCAGAGTAACCGCTGAGAGTCAAAGATGAGTGCGATGAAAAGTGTAAACCATACAGGAAAGTACCTTTCAGATAACGAAGAATATGTAAGACATCAGAGTGGTGTGAGGTCCTCGGAGCGGCCATTAACTGACTCACAATATGAACTGCATGAACAATATCTGGTCGCGTAACAGTCAAATAAATCAAACTCCCAACAAACTGACATTATAGGATAGGATCATCAAAAAGAGAGCCATCATGATGTGTAAGTCGAACGTGGTAGACAGATGGTGTGGAGGTTGCCTGATAGTCTGTGAGACCAGCTCAAACAATAAGATTTGAGACATACTTAGCTTAAGACAGAAAGAAACCAGCGGGAGATTCAGAGACTTCAGGTCCCAAAAAGTAACGAAGGGGATCCAAGCTCTTCATCTCAAATTACTGACTAAGATATGTTTGTAGATCATAAATACCAAATGCATCATCTCCCATGATAATCATATTATCAACATAGAGCATGAGGATAACTATTCCTGAGGAAGAACGACGAATAAATAAACCGGAATCGTAACCGCATGTGGTAAAACTAAACTCCATGAGCGAAGAGCTAAATATGGCATATCAGGCCTGAGAGACCTCCTTCAACCCATATAAAGCCCGGCGTAAGCGACAAACCTTTCCAAAAGACGGGAAACTTGAAAACTCACTTGTACCCAATATGTGTCTTGCAAGGAGACAAATCCACTAAATCTCAAGTGTGAGTCCTTTCCAGAACTTGAAATTCCTCAGTCATAGGTTGCTGCCATAGTGGATCAACATTTGCCTCACAAAATGACATAGGCTTATGATTAGATAATATGATAGAGTGACAATGATAATCGCGCAAATGAGCTGATGGATGACTTACTCGATGTGATAGACGAGGTATGACAGATCCAAACATCGCAGACGGATCAACATCTAGAGACGAGATTGTAGGTGGATCAGAAGTTTCAACTGAAATAGGATCTGGAGGCGAAAATGGAGTCGTAGGATTAGGGTTTTTTTGATAATTTTTTTTTTTTTTAAATTCTCGTGTAAGACTCCTAATGTGCTAAAATTGTATTAACCAGGAAGTTTTTAAATACAAAAATACTTCAAATTACAATTAAAACATATTCATTAAGTTTCATACTAAAAGTAAATAATTATCTTTTTAAACAACTAAGGTAGTATTTTATATACACATATCCACAAAATGTATATAATATACTCTATTTATTTATAAAAAATAATAATTCACTACAAAATATTATTTTTTATATTACCTATACACTTTCTCGTACATTATATAAAAAATTACATAACTTCTTAATATTACATCAAATGCTTATTTAAATAAAAATTTATTAATATGAAAACATAACAAAATACCATACAACATAAATATAATCAAAATAATACTCCACTTCTCTGGCCACAAATGATCCTTTTTTTTTTTGTCTGTCTCACCAAAATGACATTTTTCTATTTTAGTAAATTTATCAATTTTAATTACATTTAAGAAATATAAATTAATTTAATTAAATTTCTAAAATCTTATACATAGAACTCGCTTAAAACCCTTTTATTTCTATTTATCTCATCAATTAACAAATATTTTTATTTACTTTCAAAACTCTCTATTTTTTTTTTATAAAATTAATTTATGTTAATGATAAATAAATAAGTATAATTTATTTGTATTATACTCCCTTCGTCTCAGAATTATAGTCTTAACTGGGTTGAACACGAGATTTAATGAATATTAATATTATATTAATAGTCAATAAAAAGTATGGGTAAATTTTATTTTTTTGCCCTAATGAGTGTATTAGTTTAAAAAGTAGTGACAATTGTATAATAAAAATAAAAAGTAAGTGTTAAAACCATGATACACTTTTCTGGGCCTTACATTTGGGTCTCACATTGGATTGGACCCATTATACTCTATATACTATATATATATATATATATACCTTTAGCCCTAATAAGGCAGAATCAGAAATCATCACCATCACTCACCCCTCTATCTCTCTTCACTCACAGGAACACACTGTGCACACCATCCCCATTTTCAATCTTCCTCCATACACCTACTTCACACACAGAGCACATAATACACTTCATCTTCTCATTGTTTCACTGCTATCTCATACACTTTCCTCACTTGTGCACAATCTCTTTGCACGCGATTAATTGAATCGCTTCACGTCGTCTTCGCCTTCGTTCGCTCTCAAATCGATCTCCGCATCGATTTTCCTTCATCTCACTTGCGTTTAATTTCTCACTTACATCTATTATTGTGTTACTTCTTTCATATCTTTTTCTTCCGCAGGTTACAAGGTTGATTTGGTGACTTTTTGTGATTGAATCTAAGGTTCGGTGTACCAGACTTTTTGGAAAGCAGCTAAAGTGATGATTGTCTCTGGAATGGATTAAATCTGGTTGTATTGTTATCTTTTACATCCTTTGATCATTTGTTGGTTTGTAATTAGCTGTGAACTAGTTTGTGTGTTCTTGTGAGAACACAACTGCTTTCTGTGTTGATTGTGTTGATCTGGTCCTTTGCGACCGTAGCGAGTACATATTGTTTTTATCTCGCTGTTTGTGTACACTGTTGTGCTCTTAATCAATAAGATTAGAGTGTAGGTGTTCCTCACTCTTGCTCACAATTCATGGATTAGATTACTTTTTTGTTATTTTAACATGGTATCAGAGCAATCTAACAGCTTGCCTCTTTGAATTCTCGTAGATACTGCCTCGGTGTTTCTGCTGTGATCTCTGAAGCCTCTATGAACCTCCTTTCTCTGTTAAAATTCCTCCTCTGACACCTGACTTACAAGTAACTGGCTGGTCTCTATAAAAGATCCAATAGCTGACCACTGTGACAGGTATATCTTAGTTCATTTATTATCATTTCAGTATGGGTGAAAGCTCTGCTCAGAACTCAAGTCTGTCTAGTAATTCCTTCCTGGTGAGTTCAAGTTACTTTGATCCTTTGTATCTTCATGCTTCAGATTAAAACACCTTTTGAACTGATTCATCAGTGTAAGCCCAACTTATCTAGGTTAAAAGTGTTTGGGTGTCTGTGCTATGCCACTGTAGTAAATCCAACTGACAAGTTTCAGACCCGTGCCACCAGGTGCTGCTTTGTTGGGTATGCTAAAAATAGGAAAGGATACAAGGTGTTGGATCTTGAATCCAACACAGTTTTTGTATTTTGTGATGTTATATTTCATGAGTCAATTCTTCCCTTTAAGGATACCTCTACAGTCTCATCTTTGCAGTTTCAAAAGACCAATTTAATACCTCTTGCTAGTGCCTATGATGATATCTTTCAAAGCTGTGATGACAGTCCCTTGATGGCGCCTGTAGTTGATATCCAAGATTGTCACTTGGATTCACAACAGTCTGCAACTTTGGACAGCAACACAGATGTCTCTGGGGAGAATACTCTCATATCAGATACAGTGATTCCCTTCTCTGAGGCAATAGAAGACAGGCGTAAATCTAGTAGAGCATCCAAACTTCCAGCATATTTGAGAGACTATGAAGTGTCTCTTGGACATGCAAGTGTAAAATATCCAATAGGTAGTGTGTGTCAAACACCAATGGAAATACCTCCTGCTGCCTCGTGTTTTCTTGCCAATCTTGACAAGGCTGTTGAGCCTCACTATGTTAGTGAAGCATTACAAGATCCAAAATGGAAGAAAGCCATGGATCTTGAAATGCAAGCCCTTCTCGAAAATAATACTTGGGTTCTTTCAGATTTACCAAGTAATAGACAACCTGTTGGATGTAAGTGGGTGTTCAAAATAAAATACAACACCGATGGGAGTGTTGAGCGATATAAAGCTCGCCTTGTTGCTAAAGGGTACAATCAAAGAGAGGGGCTTGATTTTCATGAAACTTTCTCTCCAGTTGTTAAAATGGTTACTGCCCGCTGTGTTGTGTCTCTAGCCCTTAGTCGAGGATGGAAAATCTTTCAACTAGATGTTAACAATGCTTTTTTGCATGGAGATCTTAATGAGACAGTGTACATGATACCACCAGAAGGGTATCCAGACCTCTTTAAGAACAAAGTTTGCCTCTTAAAAAAATCTCTTTATGGTTTAAAGCAAACCCCTCGACAATAGAATAAAAAGCTAAAAACAGCCATGATAGAGTTTGGTTTTACTCAATCTCTCCATGATTACTCTCTTTTTGTTAGGATTGTTAATGATTTGATCACTGTTGCCTTAGTTTATGTTGATGACATTCTAATTACTAGCGATGATGTAAATGCTATTCCTTGCTTTAAACAGTTCCTGCATGACAAATTCAAGATTAAAGATCTTGGAATTGTTCAATACTTCCTAGGAATAGAGGCAATTGAGTGCAATAAAGGTCTTGTGTTTTGTCAAAGAAAATATACGCTTGAATTACTTGCTCAGTATGGAGTTCTTGGGTGCAAAACAGCACTTGTTCCAATGGAACAAAATCTGAAACTAGATAATATTGTGACAGAAAATGACTTACTTATGTCGGACCATGTTGTATATCAGCAACTTGTAGGAAAATTGATATATCTCATTATGACACGTCCTGACATAGCATTTTCTGTTCAAGTGCTAAGTCAGTTCATGCATACACCTAAGCAGTCTCATCTTGCTGCTGCTTTTAAGGTCTTAAAATACTTAAAGGGGTCCCCTGGTCAAGGACTGTTGTTTTCAAGAAATCAAAAAATGCATATATCTGCGTTCTGTGATTCTGATTGGGCATCTTGCCCTATTTCAAGAAAGTCTGTAACAGGTTACTGTGTGTTTCTTGGGGATTCCCTGGTGTCTTACAAGAGTAAAAAGCAATCCACAGTGAGTCGGTCTTCTGCCGAAGCCGAATGTCACGCAATGGCAACTACATGCGCTGAGCTAGTTTGGATCATTGGTATTTTAAAGGATTTACATGTTTCTCATGACTCACCTGCTGACCTATTTTGTGATAATACAGCTGCTCTCCAAATTGTTGCAAATCCCGTGTTTCATGAACGTACAAAACATATTGAGGTTGACTGCCATTTAGTTAGGGATTTTATTGAAAGAGGGGTAGTGTCTACTAAGTTCATTTCTTCAGAAAATCAACGTGCTGATATGTTAACCAAAAGTTTGGGAAGCAAATCTATTATTTATATGTGCAAACTTAACCATCTTCTTGATTTATTTCAGGTTGCTACGGATGACCCCTCAAGTGAGGGGGGGTGTTAAAACCATCATACACTTTTCTGGGCCTTACATTTGGGTCTCACATTGGGCTGGACCCATTATACTCTATATACTATACATATATATATATACCTTTAGCCCTAATAAGGCAGAATCAGAAATCATCACCATCACTCACGCCTCAATCTCTCTTCACTCACAGGAACACACTGTGCACACCATCCCCATTTTCAATCTTCCTCCATACACCTACTTCACACATAGAGCACATAATACACTCCATCTTCCCATTGTTTCACTGCTATCTCATACACTTTCCTCACTTGTGCACGATCTCTTTGCACGCGATTAATTGAATCGCTTCACGTCGTCTTCGCCTTCGTTCGCTCTCAAATCGATCTCCGCATCGATTTTCCTTCATCTCACTTGCGTTTAATTTCTCACTTACATCTATTATTGTGTTACTTCTTTCATATCTTTTCCCTCCGCAGGTTACAAGGTTGATTTGGTGACTTTCTGTGATTGAATCTAAGGTTCGGTGTACCAGACTTTTTGGAAAGCAGCTAAAGTGATGATTGTCTCTGGAATGGATTAATTCTGGTTGTATTGTTATCTTTTA